ACGAGGGAATTGTGCATTTGTAAATAATTTAAATTTTTATATGTATTACATATTTTTAATCAAATTTAAATTAATAAATGTCACAACAAAAAATTACGTCGTTAAAAAAAAAATACTTATATATTTTATTTATTTACATTATAAATATTGATAAGGTATATATGATAACTATTTTATAATTTAAAGTTCACGAGATCGAAATTGGATGATTATTTGGCTTTATAAATAATGAGTCACAATATCGAAACTATAACTGCGTATAATGGAAAAATGGTGGTTGAAATATGACCAACTTTTTGAAAGTATATGTTTCACATACTAAGTATAGAAAGGATAAATAATAGTTATTTCGCAGAACAAGCGATTTATCTCATGAATACTTATTTGGTTATGAAAAGGTTATTATTTTATTGTTTATTTTTTGTGAAATATTTCACAATTTATTTCTCAAAAATTTTTTCATGATTAAAATATCTCAACCTATTTTTACTAGCGCAAGTGCTCTTTGTTTTTCCCAAAAAGTATCAGAGACTTCAACACCTACTTTACCTCAAAACGGAATGGTTTATTTCAATATCAATTTCTTTTACACAAACATCATTTGAAATTTAAGATAACCTTAATTTTATTGTCAAAAAGTTTCAGTAAACAGAAAACAACATCTGTTACTATGAATACTTTAGCTCGTGCTATACAACTATGAAATCTCTAATTATTGCAGATTAATCAAGTAATGGCATAAATACCATCTATGCTACGCTCGACTCTTCTTTGGATGATATTCGAGAGAAATTTCTTGTTTTTTAATTAATAAATTAATATTTATGATGACAATCTGTTCAAAATTACCAATCGTGGCATATGTTCCACGACATATACCAAAAAACCCAACAAATTAAATAATTATCCGTAGAATTTAACTTGATTAACCAAGTTTTTCCGATTGATTAAATATTCATATGATTGTAAAAAGGCCATTTCAGGAAAACAATAAATAAAACAAACAAATAATAAATTTTCTTTATAAAACAATTTGAAAACAAAAACTATTGTTTTCTCCAAATGTTACTATGAATAAAAAAAATTATGTTTTTTACATGAAGTTCTAGGCACTAATTTTTGTATAACAAACATTTATTATCCATTTAATTAAAATCAAGAGAAAATAAATGATGATGAATTATTAATTATTATCATAAATATTCGTTTCTTGAGAAAATGACTGGACACGGAACTGTATTTACATTTCTTCAACGATTTTCACTTTTTGAAGCAGTTTGATCTAATTCATAATTTCCAGTTAGC